TAGGATATAGGGAGTGGTGGCCTTTGGGCAAGACCTCACCCAGCTGAGCTTCCAACATGTGAAAAAAAAATTAAGCAATGAAAATTTCACCATCAGTAGCAGAAAGCTAATGTAAATGTAATTGAAGGAGGGGGCCAAGTTCCAGCCCCATCAAGCAGCAGAACTTGGCAGCTTTGGCCATGTGATTCTGGCTTTAGAATCAAGGATATAAGAAAGGGATTGTGAAATCTCCTTCCATGGCTAATGAAAGCCACTGAGGCCAGGTATATGTCAGAATTGTCCCTGCATGGAGGCCTAGAGAGGCCATTGAGTGAAGCTGTCAAGCCTGGATTACCTTGGAAACCCTAAGACATTAGAGGTGTCAGAGTTGTGGGATACCTGCCAAGGAGAGCTACATACAAGGGGTGGGACCAGCCCAAGAAAGAGAAGTGTATTACAGTCAGCAAAGCTGAAAGGAGTTGGAGATCTGAAGAGTGTTTTGACATCAGACATGGAGATGCAGAGTTTGGAGTTTTCTCAGCTGCATTTCAGATTTGCTTTGGTTTCCTCACTATGCTCCCTTTTCTCGTTTTCAGAATGGTAATGTGTATTCTATGTCATTTATGTTGGAAGTATGTTATCTGATTTTTTATTTTGATTTTACAAGGAGTTACAGTTTAAAAGATTTCCACAGGCCTCAGAAAAGATTTTGAACTGTTAAACATTGTTGAGACTGGGATGGACTATGGGGATTTTTGAAGTTGAGCTGAGTGGAATTTTAGATTAGGATATGACTACAAGCCTATATGGACCAGGGGGTGGAATATGGATGTTTGAATAAGAATGGCAGCCCTCCACCCCACCATAGGCTCGTATGTTTGAATGCTTATTCACTAGGGAGTGGAGCTATTTGAAAGTATTAGAAAGATGAGGATGTATGGTCTTGTTGAAGGAAGTATGTCACTGGGGATTGGCTTTGGGGTTTCAAATCCCACACTGGGCCCAGAGTCTGTCTCTGCCTTCTTGTAGATCAGGATGCAAACCTCTCAGCTACTGGTCCAGCACAATGGGTGTTGTCATGCTTCCACACATGAGCTTTTGCTTGACACAGGATCCAAGTCATAATGGTCATCTCAAAACTCTGAAAGCTCATGGACATGTAATAATTAAAACTGTTCCAGCCCACCTCCAACATCTCCAAAATAGGAATTCTTCTATCATAATGGCTAATTTGAAGTCTAGGGTTTCCTACTGAGCTGGAATGCACACTCATAGCTATGTTCCCTTTTTAAAAAAAAGAAAGAAAAACTAAAGAAAGGAAGGCAAAAAGGAAGGAAAGAAAGAAAAGAAAAAGATATGTACTCCTAAGATTAAATGGTACAACCAAGTATTCTCATCTCCAAATGGAGGAATATAGTACAGAAAGTGCTTAACCACAACCAACAGAACAGATGTTAAATCCTTTAACACTGTGGTTGGCATTCAAGGCTTTTCTGATAGGAGGAGAGGAGCTTCAAAGTCTTAATAGGCTCATCCATTAAGGTTAGCTGACTAATATCTACATGAACATTATTCCTCCAAAACTAGAGTCCTATACATGCCGCTAAAGTCTGGTGTCCCTAGGCTACTCAGGTCATATCTGTAGAAGCCCCTCTGCTCCTGACTAGCTAAAAACAGAAGAAGAAATTCTAGAGAAACAATTTCCCTAGTGTTCCTATGTGATAAAAGCAGCCCACTGTCTTTTCTTTCCAAGTAAAATCTTTAAAATGAGATGGCATTTTTATACCCATGATCTCCCAAAGGACTAGGTCATGGCCTTTCCTGAAATGCTCTTAGAACCTGTTCACTATTGTCATGGTGCAAAATATTTGGTTCCTTTTTAATTGCATTTATTTACTAAGTCATGTCCATTTTTTGCCTCCGTTCCATATAGTCCAGCAGTCAATCCAGTTATATCTGAGACCTTATCATAAAGCATTTGTTCTCCAAATCTCAATATCAGCATTCTGATCTCCTGAGTTCCCCCAAAGAATTTTTCATTAAGCTCCATTTACAATACCCTAAGTTTTCTTTACTCATCTCCAAACTTTTTCAAACTTTTAAACATGTTTGAAGTCAGAAATGAAATCAAGGGCTTCAGTGAGTATCTTAGAATATTTGTTTTATTTTTCTGTAAGATTTCATTTAAATGTGTGACTGTATGCAATCATTGAACCACTGAATTATGTGTATGATAAGGACAGTAATATGATCAAATTTCTGGTTGAAATTTCGAATTATCTGAGTAAACTAGGGAAAGCTAAGATTTGTGACCATGTCGTATTCCAGGGTATAGATTGCTTATGGAAAAGTACTATCACTTGTATGCATAAGGTAATCCTCTGATGCCACACTTCACCGCCACTCATGCAGTCAAGTTTTACAATAATCCTTTGTCTTAAAAACAGTTCCAGTAAGGAGATTTATTATATGCCATATTACTAAAGGGAAGACTGGAACTTATAGATGCCAATAACTTCTCAGTATTTAGAACTGAAGAAAGACAGGATTCCAAATAAGGGTGTCTATCTCCAAAATCTCCATGCTCTTTTACTCATGCTCTCTTTCACTATATAGCCTTCTACCCTGGGCAATGTGACGATGGTGAGCTGAATCACAAAGGAACTCTGTGATTTAAATGATCAGAACCAAGCAGGTATCATGAAAATATAGCACTCTGCTAAGACTAAACATAGATTATATCAGGCAATACAGGAGTGTACCTGTGCCCTAGCTACTGGGAAGGCTATGGCAAGAAGATCATTGGAAGCTGGAAGTTTGAGGTCAATCAGAGTAATTCATGGGAATCCTGTACCCCCCCCAATAAAACAAAAGAATAAAAATGTAAACAAACAGCAACAAAATATCCTGAACAATTCATAGTATAGACCAACAGACCCTGAGCAACATATAATTGGTAATGATTGCATTTTGAGTTAGTTGCCAATACTTGAAACACAGTAAACATCAGTAAAGTGTTTATTTTCTCAGCTTGTTTTCTTTTTTTTCTGTAAGAACAGAAATATCTGGCAACATTAGACATGCATTCTGAAGTGGCAATCGTGGGTGGAAACATGCCCCATCAACTCATCATTTGCATCAGCTCCTGACAAAGTAGAGAGGTGGATCAAAGTTTTCTGTTTCCATCTTGGTCCTATGCCCTTTATTTATTAACCAGTTCAGGGCCATGATTTCTCCTCCCAAAATATTATGTTAGTTACAACTAGACAGACACTTCCTAATAACTTTTCCCTGATTTCTTTTTATTCCAGGAGACAAGATGTATTTGTTACTGATTTTAAGGACAGGACTCTCTCTACTATCTATATCTACTGTATGTCTATCTGTCTATCATTTATCCATCCATCCATCCATCAACCGTCCATCCATCCATATCACATGTGTGTGTGTGTGTGTGTGTGTGTGTGTGTGTGTGTGTGTGTGTGTGTGTTTATAAATCATTACTTCTTATTAGGATAAAGTTCATATAACATGGTGTCTTAGTCAGTGTTCTATTACTGTGAAAAGACACCATGACCATGACAAATAAAGGAAAGTATTTAGCCGAAAGGCATTTCAGTCCATTGTCATTATAGCAGGAAGCATGGTGGCACACAGGCAAACATGGTACCAGAGAAGAAGCAGCTTGAGAGTTCTACATCCAGATCCACCCATAGCAGGAAGAGAAAGATATTGGGCCTGGCTTGAGCATTTGAAACCCAAAGCCCACCCCCAGTGACACACTTCCTCCATCAAGGCCACACCTACTCCAAAAGGACAAACCTCCTAATCCCTGTCAAGTAATGCCACTCCCTAATGACCAGGCATTCAAATATATGAGCCTATGGGGGGTTATTCCCATTCCAAACACCACAATGGAATGAGCCATTTTAAATTAAACAATTCAGTGATGTTTAGCATTTTCACAGAGCTGTAAGTATACCACCTCTGAACTCCAAAACATTTTAAAATTGAAAGGTGTGAGTCCTACAACTTTGGTGATCTTTCTCCATCCTTTTTCAAAGCTAATGCTAGATACCATGAAGTTCTGTATTAATTTTATGATCAGTCTTTTAAAAGTGTCTGTGAAATGGTTTTTCATTTTCTTGGGTCCTTGATTCTTTCACCAATTTCATGCAGCTTCTAGCATATAAATTTTAAAGCTCTTGTTTGCATGTGCATGTGTGGTTGTGTTGCCTGGTATATATGGTGGTGCCTTATGAATGCTAGTAAGATGTTCTACTATGAAGCTATATTTCCAGTTTTGGTCTTGAGTACCTCACTTTATTTGGTGTTGGTCTAAGTAAAGATCCATATTGTAGGCTTTTTACTGCTAGTATGTAAAAATATATGTTATGGTTTTGTCTTGATTTTCAGTTTTCCAATATGTAAAACTTCATTAGTTTGATAATCAGAGTGGGTTCTTTCTGACTTTCTATATTTGAGATCATATTATATGTAAATATAGGTAATTTTCTTTTCCCAAATGAGTGTATTTTATTTTTTCTTGCCTAATTTTCCTAACTAGAATTTCCAATACAATGTGTCAATGGAGGTGATAATAGAAAATATCTTTGTGTTGTACCAGATCCTGAGAAGAAAGTTCCGACCTTTTGCTACTTAACATTATATTATCTATGGGTCTTTACTTATTTTCAAAACATTTTGCTGTCTAATTTTGAAATCCCAGAGTGAGGCTGTGCAGTTAGAGTTCCACGGATTTCTGAAAGGGCACTCAAAGCCAGAGTGGCCACTATGCACATTTTGAAATTTGATAACTAAATACACTTAAAATTATTCTTCAAAAATATGCCTTGGTGGAGAGTGCCTACAGAAAAAGCTAGCACTGTGTTTGTGATGCCTTAGCTAGTGGGAATCATCTATGTTAGACAACACTTGGAAGTGAGCCTTCTTTGAGAATGTGGTTGGATAATATGCTATCCATTATTACCTTTTTAATGTGCATTTGTTTTGAGTTGCAGGTTGCTTTTGTCCTGTATCCTCCCAGTGGAAGTCCTGAATGGAATCTGTCAGACATTGAGAATAAAATGTTTCTCACCATGTGCTTTTGTTGGCATTATGCATCAATCTTTGTCATCACGGGATTAAATTATGCTCTTATCACCTGGTAAGTTGGCACTATTTAAAAAATGGATGGTTCATTCCTTTGCATATGTCCATCAAGACTTGACAGTGTTGAACTTCAAATTCAAAAGGAAAATGTTATTATTACCTTCTCATAAGACAGACTTGGGCATTAGGAAGTTATCTCCACACAAAGAAATGGCCAGCAAAAATGTACATGTTGACTTAAAGTTGTAATGGTTTAGTGGTGTGACTGCTGTGCCTCTGACCATACAGTATCCTCTCTGGATCCCTGTCTCTTCACATATATGATTCTCTATCCTGGATGATCAGTTCCCCTATGTGCAATGAGACCTCCACTTATTTATGGGTACATACTTTAATTATCCCATTTCATAACCGTAGGACCCTTTTTGGACAAATGTATATAAATCAAATTAAATAATACAGTAACTCTAATTTTTCCAAAATTTGAATGGTGTATTCTTTTATACAAGAATTCTGCTCTAACTTTCTGATCAGGTGAGGAGCAACATATCAGATTTTTGAGAACACATATTCCTAGTTCTATTGCCTATTGGCTATGACTTCAGTCATTACTCAACCACAAAAAGTATGAATCTTATTGTTTAATGAATAGAGATAATAGAACCTAAATGAGATCATGTACTTACGTTCCTGAAGATGTAAAGACTCACCAGACGGACTTCTTGTCTGTACTACCTTCCTCTTCCTCTTTATTTGGTATAAGAATATGAGTTGGGGACCTTCCCATGGGGGATGTTTTTGTCCTGTAGCCAGGGCAAATTAGAGAGGTAGACAATTAAAATACAGAACAGTTAGTGAAAACAGTAGAGACAAGAAGTTCAAGGAAGGCTCCTCATAAATTGAAAGGCAATGTGATTCCAAAGATGAGCAAGAAGGAAAGAGGATGATCCTGCCTCCTAGGGTGGTTAGTGCCAAAGCACATTGGGCTTGACTGATCCTAATTACTGGACAGGCAGATTCCAACACTCAAGCCTTCAGACTGATGCTCTGAGTAACTAACTGCAGCAATGTGTATGCAGTATTCAGCATGGTGGACTCCAGTCCCAAGAATTTATAATGTGACACAATCCATATTAATTTCAGTGGATCCAAATAGTAACATGTAGATAGTGCTGCACACCGTGCAAGTTCTCCAGATCCCTAGAATGTGGAAGCTATTTCTAGGCCCCATGGTTTGTCAACTTCTACTGCAACCAGCTTTGCATACTCTGGGCATGGGCTTCAGGTCAGCCCTCCTGCTTTGAACTTGAGCTGGAGCAGCTGTGACACGGGCTCCAAAAAAAGAAAGTTGAGCTGTTGCCTTGTCCAGCCCCAGATGTCCCTCTTGGGCTTTGTCACTTTTCTCTGTGGATGCTTTCTTCCTCCTTCAGGTTGTTTCTGCTCACTCTCTTCCACTCCCCCAAAGCATGCACATCAGCTCATTTTTAAGGCTGGCTGGGCTACTGAGTCTTGCTCTCTTCCCCTGTTGTTCCAGGCTGACATCTGGGCCTCATCTCCTTAGGGGCTGGGGAGTCTTCAGGAACAGTCCCAGGATGCAAGGAAAAACTCTGCTTCGTGTCAGCTCCCATCCAGAGCCAACAGAAGACTACTGTCTCTTCCTGTTTCAAAAGCCTTCAGATGCCTAATAAATGGCTTATCCACTTACAGGTCCCTAGAAACAAGAAACTCCAGTTTTATTTTTCAACCTCTCCCAATCTCCACAGCATGCTATTCTAATCTTTTTGACCAGACAGTTCCCTTTACCTGGTATATTCACACTAGATGCCCATCTCTTCTTTGAAACCTTCTATAATTCCTCTGGCCCATGTTAATTATGTTTCCTGAGCTGCGGTAGTACTTTGCACTAGATATTTTAAATATTGTGATGTGTCAATTGCAATATTGACTACTTGCCCCCATTAGCTCTCCCTGCCAGCTAGATTGTATCCCCATGTGAAAACTATCATTTTCAAATTCCCATACCAGCTGACACATGGATAGACTTAGAGTAAGTGCTTAGATAACATTTGTTAGCTGTTGACTAAATCTCCATTTCAAAGGTACTTAAATACACCCTTCATTTGTTTGGAAGTTGTATTTTATATGTTTCTTGATTTTTCCTTTAATATTGAGAAGATAAGACCAAGAGCTCAACGTTCCCTGAACTATTTTTGATATGTATTTAAGCAACTGTTTTAAAATACCACAAAGATTCAGTATTGTCTTTCAGTGAGATCACATGATCAGTTCTCACTTTGAGAATAAGGAGGCTTGAAACTCCTTTAGTCAGGGCTTGACTATGAAGTGGCTGCCTATCCACAAGTCATTAAAGGTCAGATATTATATCCAAGTTGTTTGACATAGCACAATGACTGCCATACAAGCACATCTAAATTATAGAATTCTCCTCCCTAAATCCTTGAAAGATGATGCAAAATGTCCCAGCTTTACTAAATAATGGTTCAAGATTGCCTCATTCTATCCCTGCCTACAGTCTTGATTATGTAAGTTTATAGAATAAACCTATCTATAATATTGTTGGAAATATGAAATTGTTGCATATTTAGTATGTTACATATATGTGTATATATGTATACACGCAATATATGTGTGTGTGTTGCAAATAACTATTTAAATAGCCTCTGCCTATATGGAAGGAAGTATTGCCTATTTTCAGATGAGTTTTCCACACAGTGAGTCATGGGAGCTGCTGTGAAGAATAAATCAGTCAAGCAGGGCTTGTTAACACACCAGGCACATAAATTTCTTAGAAGTAACTCTTGCATCTGCTACACTCTTTTTCACAGTAATTTACGAGAACATGAAGCAAGGACAGAGACACACCTTGACCTTGATTTCCAAAATGTCCACCATTTTAGTGACTGGCAATTGTGTCTGGGAATTCATTTATTGACTATTTATTGTGGGGGGGGTTACTGTTTTGAGGGGATTTTGCTTTTGAGATGAAGTCTCACCATGTGGTTTTGATTGGCTTAGAACTTTCTATGCAGACCAGGATGGCCATAAGCCCCACAGAGATCTGCATGCCTCTGCCTCCTGAGTGCTGGTTCACAGGTGTGTGCCACCACACCAGGCTGCAGTTCCTTTTTATTGCCCCAGCTCTCACCCTGCCTCACAGGACCATTTTCACACATGAGCTACAGATGCCTAGAACCAAGGTGTGAGCTTCATGGCTTACAGCCACAGCAGAAATAACCCAGGGAGAAAGAACAGGAAGCAGTGGGAGCAACCGGGTCTATGCTAACATTTCATTCCCAGTAAGAAAGCACAAGCTGTTTCATTTTCCACATGAGTCTTCAGAAAGGAACATAATTGGTTAATCCCTTTCATCTTGCGTGGATTGGCATTGGACTATGTGGAAAGAGTATGTGGGCTTTTGTAAGATGGCACAAATATTCTCTAGCTCTTAACCTGTTACAGAGCATCAATTAGCCTTTCAAAACAGAAGGGGCTTGGAGTGTTCAGAACATATGAGCAAAATCAGTAGTTAATAACCAAGGCAAACAACTGAGCAGGTTTTCTTGGCCATTGAGTCAACTGAAGTTATTGATTCTGTTCAGTTGCTGTTTACTGGAGGTGCTAGAGTTCATTGGCAGTGGCTGGAGAACTGGTAGCTTCTATTCACAAATGAGTGGCATAATCTTTCAGATTGCTCTACATGTCAGGGACGTGCCAAATGTATCGATGTTGCAGGTTAGAATAACCTCTGACTCTGGGTAGGGTTACGGCAGCAAATGGGATGAAGTCAGTGAGGTTCTTGTGACGCTTTTGTGTGGGATCCAGAGCGCAAGGAATGACATAAGGTATGAATAGAACAGGCCAGAACTGAACTGGAGAAAGGAAGAGAGAAAGTAAAAAATCAGAATGCAGACAAGCTGAAGAAATTTTTCATGAAGAGAAATTCAGTCCAGATTTGACATGTGCCTTCACTTGGTCTGTCACCCTAGGGAAAAGTTATGTACTTCATTACAGAAAATGCTGTCTCTCTGCAGTCCATAGGTAGTTGTGGGTTTGAAGTAGATGTTCCACCAATGTCACAATTGTCACAGTCAGAGTCTCCTGCTTGTTTTATAGATGATCAGTTGTGCAAAACTAAGCAATCCCATAATACATTCGAGAGATGCACCTTCTCTGTTTATGTAGACATTGCTGTAGTCTATACACATTCTCATGTATCTCAAAGTCAAATAGAAACCATTTCACTTTGGAGATTGCCTCTGTTTATTGTAGGAATAATCTGCATGTCACTCTAAAGTTTTGAACCTTGGTATCATGTAACCAGAGATGATTTTCTTTTTCCCCAGGTTAGTTAAATCTAGACTTAGGAAGGTCTGCACCTCAGAAGTTGGACTCCTGAAAAGTGCTGAGCGTGAGCATGAATCGGAAGAAGAAGTGTGATTTTGATGGGCATCCACTCATGCCAAAGAAAAGCTTCTCCTTTTTCATTGCCTTTGCTCATGGCTTTGTTTCTTGACCTTGTCTGAAGAACAGCCGCCTGAGTCTGACTCCATGTTGTTTGTATTTCCAGTTTTGTTAAAGTGTTGAACTTTAAATGTCTCACCTACAGCTTTGAAAGTACCTCGGATGACAAATTCCCTTTGCATATTGTGCATGCCAGAGTATTCAGGACCAATCATGATTTTTCCAAAGTTTATACTATGAGAATGGTTTGTTTTGTTTTCCTGGTGGATACCTTCAAGATTTATGGCCTTGTCATCACTTGTAATTAATTAAATGTTAAGTTTTACTTGTTTATCTTGTTGCCATAATGAAAAATAAATGAATGCATGCACCTTTGTGCAAAAATCTCAAATCCTCATTTTTTTATTGAAGTATACCCCATCCTCAGATGATACAGAAAAACCTGCATATACAGAAATCCCTTTCTTTGAGATATTTCTGCATGGAAAACTTGATGCAAAAGCTAGATGAGAAATCTTCCTGTGAGCTTTCTAAAAGGGAATAACATTAAGGCACATGGTTTTAAAGATGTCAGAGACATCTTTAAAAGGGGCATAGTGGTATTAGCATAGCCTAGCATGACCACCATGCCATTTGCTCTGTTAAACAAGTAAATGATTAAACAACATGCCTTTATACCAGTGGTTCTCAACTTGTGAGTTGTGACTCCCGAAAGACCATCAGAAAACATAGACATTTACATTACAATTCATAGCAGTAGCAAAATTACGGTTATGGAGTGGCAATGAAAATAACGTTGTGGTTGGGGGTCCCCACAACATGAGGAACTGTATTAAAGGGTCACAGCCTTAGGAAGGTTGAGAGCCACTGCATACAATCCTAGGTTAAAAAGTCAGAGCCTTGTGCATTTAAGACAAGAAACTCCCAGTGGTAAGTAGAAAAAAATAATTCATATAATTCTAGTTCTACCATTAACCACTCCATGTTTCTCACAAGTTAACACATCTACCTCTCTACACTTAACCTTATACAATAGACCAAAAAGATGATTCTTCACTGTAAAGGAAAGGGATGAAATTGACTTAATAAGCATAGGGACCCTTTTTTCTATCAAATTTTTATCAATCTCAAATGGAAGCAAGTGGAGAACTAACTTAACACAACATTACACAGAAAGGCCTAATATAACAGAAAAAGGAGAGGATGCAGGAATCCTGAGACATAAGTTAAATGTGGAGGAAGTGACACAGTCTCTATAGCCCATGGAGCTGAAACACAGACAATGAAACCCAGAAGGCTCCCTGGCATTCCAGAACTCCAGCAAGCCCAGAAGCTACGCCATCATATGCACATCACAGGGAGAGAGATCATTATATTCAGGCCCAAGAACCAGAGTATTCATTTTGCTAAGATTTTAAAATGACAGGTGTGAGTGCCCAAAGGTGTACCTTGAACATTGAGTGGGTGGTGAACTCTGGAATAGCAGGTACCAATGTGTCATGGTCCCCTGGGGACAATGTTCTGCCCAGGTGTCCCAGAGTTAAGAGCCCTTTTCTAGTCTAACATCATTCGGTGACTGTGGCTTTTGAGTTTCCAAGTCAGTCAACAGGCAGCTGCTGAGTTAGTTGACACAGGAGTCACTGATATCTTGGTCTAACAAACACAGACAAGGTGAAGTCTGGAAGTTTGAAAGCCAATGAATACAAATCCTCTACTGCATTTATGAGGGCACAGAGATCACTACTTCCCCAGGCCTGAACACTGAGACTATAATTAAGATGCAACTCAGGGAGTTCTCGGACATCTGGGTCTCAGACCAGTTTGGGAATGTCTTCCAACGGTTCCTGAAATAAAAATTTTCTGGCAATTGTATGGTTATACTGTTGTGTTTTATAGATACTGTTTCTGGAACAGCATGAAAAACTTAGTTAAGAAAAAAACCTAGTAAACTGGGATCTCAAGCCCCAAGTGGTAAAGTCTTTTATTTCTTTCATTCACTCTGTGCCAGGAAGTCTCGGTCCATCGGTAGAATCTGTAAAGATTTTGGTTTATCAAAAAATCTATTACAGTAAGTTGTCTAGAATAACAACAAATGTAACAAGAGTATAAAGTGTTTTCTACTATACAACATAACATGAGGAAAGGCAGCTCGTCAATCTGGGGGTGGGTAGAAATGGGGCCACTCATTCAAGAGGTGTTTATTATTCCATTTCCAAATGCTAGGAAGTATTCAGAGAACTAAGAATAGAATAATGCTCAAGACAGAGCTGTGGTCTCCATTAGACATACATCCTGGGGTAGGAACAGACAGCAACAGAGTAAAACAGGAGACTACAAATGGAGGCAATTAGTGATGTGAAGGAAAATGAATCTGGGAAGGAGAACAAAGAATGGTGAGGTGCATTGGTGACATTTTGCCCAGGGTCCTTCCCCAGAGGTCTTTCTATTAAGAACATTGGCACCCATGCTCCATCTTTATGTGAAATTATGGTGTTTACATTTCCAAATGATTAGTCTGTGCCAGGACAAGTCTTCATCAAGGACTGGACAGAGATGGGGATTCTACTCCCTGCTTTGTCTCAGTGTCAAAAACCTGAAGACTCGGTTCCTGAAGTTCTGCCCTATTTCCTTCATGGGTATCTCATGCTCCATCACTATACACCAAAGAGGAAACCCTTTAAATCAGTCAGCAGGAGTGATGCTCTGGTTGCACAGACAGGAATGTGAGTAATGGGAGCACTTAACACCTGAGTTAACATTTGCTGTCGGTGGGGCATCAGCTCCTCCATGAGCTTTGCAACCCCCAGTTTCCTCACCCCAGCAATGGCGACCTCGCACTGCATCTTGAAATGGACCAGATCCTGACTGCACTTTTACTAACCTTGATATCACTCCATCACTACAGGAGATTAACAAGGTGCTTATTCTACCTTGAATATGGATGAATTAGGTGAGGCAGGCAGCAATCACAGTATTACAGTAAAAAACAGAAATAAAATGAAGTAAGGAACTCTCCCAAACACAAGTAAAGGATCGCTAGAGTCTATGAAAGAAAAATTAATATACATGGGGAATAGACCCCAAAAGTATGTATTCTATTAAAGAAAGGCAAAAGAATAAAGGACAGGAATACTAAAATCTGAATTTCCCCCAAATAAATGTCAATGAATAGATAGGATTGCTTTAAGCTTAGAGGGATATGTGTTTGTAAGAGCTGTTTAATGGATAGAATAATTAGGCTTCTAGATTCACCCACTTTAAAAAAATCTCAAAACAGAGTCCTTTTAAATTAACTTTGAAAATACCTATCTTTATTTTAGTATTGAGTGGGTGGGGGTCCAACTCCAGCTTTTCTATGCTAAAATGGGCTTGTTGTGAAGGAGTGAGTTTGTTTATGGTGGATAATGTTTATGAGATATTAAAGACAAAGATAACAAGTGGGACGAGCTTCTTGACTGTGACTCTCATAGCACATAGCATAACCAGAATTCTGTTTGTGCCAAGTGTCAAATCCTCCACAAAGGCTGTGTCCTAACCTTCTGTGAACAAGGTGTGCACTATCCAGGTCAGGGTCATGCAGCCTTTCGTGTCACTCGAGATTGCTTTATTGCTTAACCCTTGACTTTAGGCCTTTGCAGAGGTGACAACCTTCCCTGGAAGACAGACTTAGGCAGAAGACCGGCCTTCTTCATCTTACACAGGAGGTAAGAGGAACTACAAGAAGGACAGCCTGATTCTGAGCCTCAGCTCCCACTTTGTGGATGTCAAATGCTCAACGGGTGATATCAGGCATAATAGTTCCTTTGTGTGTTGCCTGCTCTGGGCTCCTCTGCCAGCCTACAAAAGGACAGACACCCACAGAGAATGTTCCCTCAGAAAGGTGCAGTACGCAAAGCTTCCCAAATTGAGATGAGTGGGAAACTATCCCAATTAACACGTGTGTTTAAATATGAGATTTAAATGTGCCAACTTTGAGGTGTAAAGACTTGTGAGCTTGACATAATCCTGTATTTTCCACACATACATTTCTTATTTGATAGGACCGTTTACTTTTCATATCTATTATATCTTCATGGGAGGATGGTAAGGCGGGGGAATGGGGGATTGATATGTAAAATAAGAGTGCTTCTAAAAGAAAAAAAAGTGATATATCTTGATGACTCATAGTGCACTCTCTTTTAAATTCAGCCAACAGTGAAAAGGTGTAGTTTTACGACTAAATGGCTTGAAGCAGGGCAAACATACATGTGCTGAGGCTGTATGTGACTTACCGAAAAGAGTCTGTAACTAAACAAATGTTAAAATGAATTAAGAAATGGCTCCTTATCTGTTTTGTTTTTTTCCCCTCTGTTTGAGTCTCCTAGCATCTTTTAAAATGTCCTAAAAGGCCGGTGGGGATAAGGTTTGACAGATATCTAGAAGTGAAGCTGAACTCATTCCCTATTTGCTGATCATGTCTCAAGGCAAAATACACTGAGTCCAAAACATGCAGGAGATAAGCTCATGCAACTAGGAGAAGGCCTTAGCAATTCAGGGTGAAGCAACCTATTACCAGTTTAGAAATAGATCTGTGTCCCCTTTGTCTCTTAGAGTCTACATTCATTAGTGCTACACTCAGAGTTTTGACTCTGAGAATTAAAATTAAGTTCCTTTAGCCCGATTTGAAATTCGATGAACAACTATGCCTTATATTGTACTCCCAACCTAACAACTGCACATTTTATTTGCATATCTGCGTCTTATTAACCACCCTTCCTTCCTACCTCTCATCTTAGGTTTGAAGGTTCTTTAAAGTTGTGTTCACAACATTTCCCCCCTGCTACTTCCGGCTCTCTTCTTCTGTCACTATCTCTAAAGCCCAGAGCCTAAGCCATCACTGGGTAGGTCATATGCTTTGTAGACCTCTAGCATTAGAAATAAAATCCTCCTAGTCACTTCTCTGTAGGCCTGCAGAAGAATACTCCTCTGCTGTTTCAGCTGTGGAATCTTTACTCACTATTACCATGGACAGTGAGCTTCAGGCATAGCAAGGAAGATGGGACCCCGAAAAGGTCATGGTCTGTATGATGCAGAAAATGTTATGTGGTACCCATATTTCCAGTCTTGAAAGTGTGCATCCAGTAAACAAATAGCAAATATAAAGGAGAAAGAACAAATATTGCCATATAGACAAAGGCAGCAGATAGATTGCAAAACATCATGTCAGGTGACAGCATATGACAGACAGCTGGGGTGGCCTGATTGAGAGCAAACAAAGGTGACATTATTAAATTAGGATCTTTTCACAACCCACAGAAATGTACTAGGGAAGCCTCATTGGGACAGTCAGCTGGAGCTCCCAACAGGGTTTCTTCTTATCAGTGAGCTTCTGTTTGCTCAACTCACCATAGGCTTTTTTTTTTCTCCAACATTTTTATTTGAATTAGAAACAGGATTGTTTTACCCGACAATCCCAGTTCCCTTCTCCCACCCGTCCTCCCCTCCACCCCCCAACTACAACATTATCTGTCACATATCCTTACTGCCCCCCCTGGATGGTGAGGCCTTCCATAGGGTGTCATCAGAGTCTATCATATCCTTTGGAATAGATGCTAGGCCCACCCCCGTGTGTCTTGGCTCAGTGAGTATTCCTCTATATGGAATGGGCTCTCAAAGTCAACACCTATACTAGG